CAAACATTGGAATAACACTGCTATAGACATTATCATGGAAATAATGAGCTCCCTAGAACCTATGTAAGCATGATCTGTGAAAGCAGTTTTTTTCGCTCAGCAGCACTGTGTGCAGTCTGTCCGCAGGCCTGTTTGATCAACAGGTGTCAAATTATCACTGTGGTTCCCATGACTCAGTCAGTGTGCAACTGCAGATTTGGTAGACTGAGTGGGCGCTTCAGAATAATATTGCTTCCCTTCTCTGTGAACTCCCGACGTGCTCTCTCTGTCCCCTCCCCTTCCACAATGACTCATTGTGTTTCTTTCACACTTTGCGCCAGACAGCTCTGTCTGTCTCTCACTGAAGGCATGAAACAATATTTTGAAACAGACGCACTTCCCTTGTATGCCTTCATTACTCTCTCAAAAAGGCCGTCATATTTTTGTGTAAACTGTTGGACGTGGCAGTTTACAACAGTCTCTGCCTTAGTTGTCCAAAGAGGCTGCTCCAGTCAAGAGGGTGAGAAAGGGGTGTTCTACTTTATTGCTGCCAACTTAAATTAGTAATTAACATTTTCACGTTGCCATTTTCCCATGCAGGTTATTAACTGATACACTGTACAGGTGTTATTTCCAACAAAGTTGCTGGATCTGGCACTGCATATTTCCGTCTCTTTGTCTGTCATTTTTGATGGAAATCCTATCAGTCCTCATTTTGTGGATGTTTGAATTCGTCTCATGGGTCAATTCAGCTATGCATGCTTAGTCTTGGCTCTGCCAATTGTAACAGCTGGGGGCAGTCAGTAGGTATAAATCATGCAGTCGGTCAGCTTTCCATGTATGTGTACTCCACCCTGCTGCCCATGTAGCCCAGATCCAGTGAGAAGTGAAGAAAATGTGAGGCTTGGGGTCACGACTCGGCCCAGGATTGGAGGCCCTTCTGAGCCATTATTGTGATATTACCAAACCTCATTTGCTGTTGCTTTATGTCACTTCCTTTTACGAGACGGTCAGATGACATCAATCCAGGCATGTCGCAGAAAAAAAACGTTGAAATCCTTAAAGTTCACACAGGATTTACTTTTTGTAGCTTTTGTAGCTGCAATAATCGTGCTCTCTTGCAAAGAAAAGCAACTGAGTTGAACTAATTTCAAAAGATTAAATAAAACATTTCCTCATGTGCTGCAAGCAAGTAGTTCCTCGCTGATGCATACAGTACAGTGTTTGTGAGGAACTGAAGCATTGCGAATCAATCAGGCAGTCTTTTGATTCAAAGGGAGCCAAATTGTGTTAAGTTAATTAAGTCTGATAGATGTGTTTGCTTTCATAGCTGATTAAGGTGCTCAGCAGAACCCCTGAGTTTACACTTCATCAAAATACTTCCGAAATCTATCAAGGGCTCTGTTTTTTACACCCTTACCCTCTCATTAATTAAGTTGGCCCTGATCATTTTAGCTGATGTTTGGAGTCTGGCCAAGAAAACATGGACAATACCGGGATACATGTCATGAACACTTTGGTCTTCATACCCTTATCCTGAGCAGCTCAGTTTAAAGGTCAAATTTTTAAACACGTGCTTATAATGACTGCAAACTATTAAAGACAGACCACAGCGAGATCTTTTGTTCCAAAGAATAAAGAAGACCAAAAACAACTTTACGGTTATGATCTGTAATTAATAATGGCCTCTTTTCAGATGTCAGCCAGAGTATCCAAAGCCTTTCCAGGATGACATGATAAGTGTGTTACAGTTCAATTGTGCATCAAAAGAAATAATGAATAGGTCCAGTCTGCAGTGAACTCATTTGGCACTTGAGTAATGAGGAGTGTTGATGAGGTATTCAGGCCTATTCTTTCTGAGCCAAATCTGGTGTCTGAGTCTCCACAGGGTTATTCTCAAAGCTTAACTGTTGGCCCTCAATTGGAGAGTCAAACAAATCTTACCCAAACATTTCTCAGGCTTGATTGCAGCGATGACTGCTCCAGATGTGAAAATGTACTGTGTTGAAATATACCAAAAAAGAACAAATAAAACACATATAGATATATAAACAAAGATCTGTCTTGCCTAAGACACAGTCCATCGATGCCTTTCTCCACCATGTCTTTTGTTATTTTTGCATTTGGACAGAATATCTCCCTCTCCTGCCAGATTCTGTTATATCACCGGGAGCATGGATGAAAATGTGTTTTCAGTTAATAACTCACCTCATCAGTTTTTCATGGTAAGAACAAAAGAGGTTACAGAGGAAAAGCTTTACGGAGCCCTTTTCTGTCTGTTTATTCTGTGTTGATGTTAATGCGAACAAGAGTCCAATAAAAATAAAAAGAGACATGAATTTCTATCATCTTCACCCTACAGCATAAAGTAAAACTAACTTTCTGCTTTCTACAGTGACACTTCTGGAATAACTTTACATACTTATAAGAAATAAATTGCAGACACATGTGGATTGTGTAATTATCTTCAGTCTTGAAGTGATTTATCCTATTAGTAGATCATTTTCACTTCTTTAGCATGCATCACTGATATTAGCAGGCCAGATAGCAGAGTGTTTGATGTTTGAAAAGTCAGAATTTCACACTGTTGCATTCAAAAAAGCTATTTATGTTCAATAAGAAATGTAAATTAACTTACGGAAATTGCAAATGTAAATTACTGTAACATTAACAAAAAAAAACTTGAAGGAGTATTTCACAGATTTTGTGCATCAAGTTCAGTTTACTTGCATGAGGAGTACTACTAACTGTGACAATGGTTGTCCTGCGTGGTGCTGGGGGGGAGAAAGTCTAAAAAATAACCCTGATTATGTCATAGTGATGTTATCAGGGTCGGCTTGGGCTTAAAGACTACAAATTTATAACAGAAAAGCCTGTGTCACAGGCTGTGGGCAGAAAGCAATCAAGTTGCATTATGGGAAGTGTAGGATCCAGTGTTTTTTGAGTTTGAACATTGGGGTCTATAAGTCAGGATATCTCTGCTCTTCGATTTTGATCATTTTTTGTAATATGTCTCTTGTGAGTCCCCCAGTGTGATACAATATCGCTCGAGTTATGTGCTGTGCTCAAAATAAACCCAATTTGATTTGCTTAACAAATGCTAAAAGGTATTTTAACTATCCTCCAAGCTTATTTGTAGCTATAAAAACATCTTCTCAAAGTGTAAATTGTAAACTTTGTTGACAGATTGAAACATAATTATCTTACAGATCCCCTGATCAAACTCAAAAGGGAACCTGAAGTTGTTTGCGGTTTTTGTATTTACCTTTCTGACAGTGGCCAGGACTATTTTGATTCCACCCTTGAAAAAGTAATGAAATTTGGTTGGTTAATTGATTATTTAACAAAACAACTAATCGATTAATATTACTTGTCAGTGCATAGAAAATGGTTTGGAAAGTGTAAACCTGTCAGGAAGAGCCGAGGCAGTAGGTTTATGATAGCTGGCACAAACACAAGAAGACAAACAAACATGTAGTCTATTTATCACAAAAGCTGGAATGTAATTATCAAACATTTTCACTCAATTCTTCATCATCTTGTGAACATGCACTTGTGGGGGAAAACATAGTCTCTGATAAGTTATTTAAGAGTCTGTGATGAGGTCAGTAAATGCCTATTCTCTGCCTAGAGTATAACAGCCTTTATCGTGACTGATCATTGCCCAAAGCTGTGGAAAACTAACATGTATAACAACCTCTTGCACAATAGTACGTGCCCATTTTTAAAAAAGAATCCCAGCATGAAAACACTGCACTTATGTAATCGTAGATACTTGAAGTACTAATCATTATCACTTCAAAATTACTTTGTAACAGCATTCTGGTCAGGCAAAATAAATTCATGCCAGGACTCACTGGCTGAAGAACAAACTGCATCATGTCACTGAATGCAACAACAAGTCCTCAGAGGGCCTTTACTAGATTTGCTCTCCAGCCTGAGCAGTAAAAGTATTGAGGGAAAAAACAGTAATAAAGATTCTGAGGAGGTTTATCACAGTTTGTATATAATTCAGTCACACCGAGCAACAGAGAGATACTGAGATATCTGTGTAGCACAGTCGAGCTGAGCTCCAATGGACTGGAAAATAGTATTTCTGCAGCGTGTCAAGTCTCTGCCATTTGGCAAAGGCTCCTCATTACCATCAAATATACCGCTAAACATGAAAAGGACCCTAAGACTGAAGGCCAGGTGTTTGCCTGATTGCATAGATCAGGAAACTACGATTGTTTGAAATAATTTACAAGAGCAAGTCCAGTCTTTACACTTTTCAGTGTTAATTCCAACCACATTGTCATATATGTAAACCTTTTGTGTTGTAACTTTATATTTCTAATATTTGAGATTTGTGTAACAATAGTTTGCTCACAGTCTTTTATCTTAATATCAGATTTTGATTTCAGTTGTGTCATTAAATTGATTTAATCTTTATTGAATTATTGAAAACAAATAAGATGATTGGTTGTGAATGAAACAAATTATATAAAATGAAAACAAGTATGTGAAACAAAAGTATAGTCATCATTAAGTATCCGCTGGTCGCATACAGAAAGCACTTTGCTTTACTGTATGCAATACATATATTATCTACCACTTAATACATACAGAAGCTGGGAAACATTCACACATGAATGTAATAATGTAGAATCCCATGAAATATCTCCAGAGTACCTATTGATTTATTCCACCTGGGCTGAAAGTGCATTCCACATCTGCAAGCTTCTCTGAGGAAAAATAATTGAAATCATATGAAGGACAAGACCGTGAAATCAAAAAGGGGAATGAACAACAAAAACAGAACATGACCAGAAATGAAAAAGCATCCATTGTAAGCTTGTGAGCCTGACATATGACGTCTTATCGTATTGTGTAATAAGACATGATCATTTATGTGTTTAAAAATGTGGACTGTAAATCATATTGGACACTGCAGAGGTCTGTTCAAAGTTACAAACAAGCAATGCTTGCAATGTTTACTTTTCAAGAGAATGTAAATATGAATAAACAACACAGTGACAACATTGTGGATTTATTAAATTATTTAATGAAAGTAAACAGTTCTGTTGTTTGTCTTCACTGGTCAGAAGATGGAAAGTGAAATTAAAGAAGGAAGTCAGAGCAGCATCGTCCTGCATTTATTGCGTTGGGTTACTACTTGGATTCATGCAGTTTATCAGTTGTTTTGCACTGTAATGCTGTTGAGATGCATTTAATATAATATGAAATATCCATAAAATATGTCACTTAGTCAGAAGTCGTCGGTTTACTCATTGATAGAAAAAGGGGTCCTTTTAGGAAAAAGGTTGGGAACCACTGGGCTAGACTATGGGTTTGTTGTTGATAACTAAATGAATTTGGTTTTTACAGGCAGTTTCATTTCATCTATGAATAATCAATCAACATGCAAGATTCACTCACCACTACTTTTATTTCTGATATATTATTCTTCACAATAAATTCCACTCACACCAATTGTATCTGGACATTTCCAAGGTGTTATTCAAGGCAATTCAGGTATAGTTTCAGCTCTGTTTCGGTTGGTGTTTCTATCAGACTCAATGCTGGTTGCTTGTTCCATCGTTTTCTTGTGGACCATCTTGTACTTTGTCTTCATATCCCTCAGCAGCGATAGAGCTTCCCGCTTGTTAACGCCTGTGTCGTGTATGGCGCTGCCTGTTGAGAAAAGACAGTGTTACATAAAGAAAGGTACGGTCATGAAGGGTTAAGTTCGCTGACAATCATTGGATCAGAAATGTGCATACTTAAGGGAACTGCTTTTATGGTTGTGCTCTCTTTGATTTCCTTGATCATTTCATCAACCCTCTCAGTTGGCTGCTTTATGGGTTTCAAAGGTGGAAGTTGCTTAATCTGTGCACAGAAAAGAATTTAAAAAGTCATAATATTTAGGTGATAACATTTTCTTTACAGTTCTCACTAGATTTATTATAATTTGACAGTAATACTGAGTGTGAATGCAGATTTATTTTGTGTCACAAAATATTCAACCTTTTTCTCTCTTTCTCTGTACGGTGTCTGGATGCAATCAAGCTTTGGTTTCGAGTCTCTGTAAACATTAAGATTCTTCAGTGTGTGTTCCAGCATCCGAACAGCTGTTTGAATTCCTGTTGAGAGAGAAAAAAAACGATACTCCCCTTCACTATGGGGTGATTGTATAGCCAGACCTTTGAAAGCTTGAGGAAAATGTACAAACAATAACAAAGAATAAATAGCCACAGGTGAAGCGAGAGTCCTCACCAACGGGCTCCACCACATCACAGTTTGGTTTTGCATCCATCAACGTTTCGTAGCTCGTGAATTCTTCAGGAATGATTCTGTCCTTGTTTCTGTCCTTGTTCTCTGCAGTTTCTTTCTCATCAGCTCGAAGATCAAACTCAAATTCACGAACATCTGTTGCCTGAACATCAAACAACATTCAGTGAAGAGAGAAAATTATTCAAAATGTAAGAAACTGTGGAATGGTGGAAAGTAACTAAGTACATTTACTGAAGTGCTGTACTTGTTCTTCATGCCACTTTCTACTTGTACTCCACTACAATATAATGAACTTTTAATTCACTGCAATTATTTTAGTAACTAGTTACAAATTAAGATTTTTGCACACAAAACATATGAAAAGTTTATAAAATAAGTATAAATAATAAATAAGTTTTCTTATAAATTAAATTACCCAACAGGATGTGCAAGTACAGCTGATATGTTTAGTTGCTTAATTAATTAGTTTAATTGACAGAAAATTTAATGGCAACTATTTTTGATAAACTTAATTGTCAGATGCACAAATGTGAGGATTTGATGTATTTTAATAATTTAAATTTTTTTTAATACTTTGGAGGTTTTGACAATTGGTTGGACAAAACAAAGCACTGTGAAGATGTCACTCTGGGCTTCGACAAATCCTGCTGTAATATAAAATAGTTTAACAGTCACAGGAGACATTGTCCTTGATTATACTTTAACTTACTTTACATTTTTAATGCATGACTTTTACTTGTAATGAAGTATTTCCATGGTGTGGTATTAGTACTTTTACGTTCTATAAGTAAAGGATCTGAATACCTCCTCCACTGCTGGTAGGCACTAATCCACCATTTATAAACCCAGTGGTTGTAGAAGTTAGATTTCCCAACCAAGAGGAGCAAAATCACAAAAAATGAACATGTACATACCTGAGTAACAAAGAACTGCTCTGTGTTTTCCTGGAAGGTGTCGTCTTCGCTATTCTCACCCTCAGATACTGGTGTTCTCTTACCAGTCAACTCACTTTTCTCAACCGGAGCACGACAAGGAACATCCATCAATGGTGGCTTCTTTGACTCCTTTGGGACTCTTTCTTCCACCTGCAATCCAAAAAAGTAAAACAAGAAAATAAAAGATGAATCGTTTAACAGTTTAACTTTCATATAACAAAAAATCTGGAGGACGATGCAGAACAACCTTCCATTTTGGATCTGTTGACACCTTCAGTGGGAGCTTAACGACTTTCTTTGTCTTCTTACGCTTTATTGTTATCCCCAGTCGCTCTTGGAGGTAATGGGTCAGTAAAGGAGGGTCTCCTGTGTGCAAACAAAGGCGTAAAAGGTGATTTCAGCACTGAAAATTCCAAGCCAATCTCTAAAACCAGCTTCTTATAAGAGAAGAGAGAAGGGTTACCACTTCTCTGAGTGGTCAGAGGGTTGGAGTGAATGTCAATTTCTCGAAGAACTGGGAAAAGAGCGGCAGCCATCAGCGCTTCTTCCTCGGCAATCTGATGACAAAACACTGATGAGACATGTTAGCTCGTTTTTAAAAAAAGGAGTCGTGGTTCATTTATTTATACAAATTATTCAGCACACCTTGTTGTTGGCTAAATTGAGGAACTGAAGCTCTGGAAGTGGCACACTGGATCCTTTGCAGCACTCCTCCCAATTTTCCTGCTGAAAGATGCAGGGTGATGGATGAAGACACAAGTTTAATGCAGATTTAAAATATGGGCTAAAGAAACAAACACCAACTGTAGAATGAATTACCTCTGAGAGTCTCTTGAGATGTTCATCGGTGTTATGATTTGGCTCAGTGGAAGCTGAATTGAGGGGATCAAAAATTATTAAATCAATCTTATATTGAGGATGTAGAGGAAACTATAACATGCAGGTCCATTATTAAGTTCTTTACTGAGCATTTACCATGTCCCACTTCTTCTTCAGCAGAAGTCTCCAAAGGTTTCAAACAGTCCATTAGTTGCAAACATGGTATTTCAGAAATGCGGTTCCCCTGCAGGTTTAAATACTTTAGCCTGTAATTGACAATTTAAAAGTTCTCAATGAATGTTTCCAAAGGTTTTGTTATGCATCTATCAGTATTTAGTAATACTTTATTTTCTATAGAAAACTCCAAACCACATGATGACCTCTCAAGGTTTGCAAGACTGTTGAAGACTCCAGAAGTCAGTTTGTTATCATCAAGGATCAGGACTTCAAGAGTTTTAAACTGTGTGTCTTCTTCTTTAGCTAGCCTGGACAAAAAAAGAGAGAAAGAAAATCAGTACAGTTCACCAACATCATAAACTCCACACTGATAAATACTGAATGTATTTCATAATGCAGCTGAAACCATAAAGTTACAGGAACATACTACATACAGTATGTGTGCACACCTTTTATAGCTGGGCTCTATATACCTTGCTGGGCTGTAGGGCAGGTGTATTGAATGCCATTACATTTATTTCAGCAGCATCAGGAGAGTGAATCTGGAGCATTTGTGCACCCCCTCTTGGTCAGTTTACAAACTGTTTTAAGAGCATCACTCTGTCAGTAACTGTTTGCATAAGTGGTGAAATGTAACTAAGGACATTTACTCAACTACTATACTTAAGTACAAATTTGTATATAATTCTTATATAATATAATTCCAGGTAGTTATACTACACTTGAGTATTTCTGAGTATTTATGCAACTTAATACTTCTACTTCACTACATCTCACAAGCAAATATTGTACTTTTTATTTGTCTGACAGCTTTAGTTACTAGTTTTCAGACATTTTTCATACCTTTTCAGTCAGTGTACTTTTGAATTTCTCTGATAAACCTGTTTCTCTAATGGGTTGTAATAATGATCCTGCTTCTTGAGCTAAATAAACTATATATAAAAAACTTGAATTAGCTGTATGCACCATCACAAAGCTGAAAACAGGGCTGTTTTTCTGAGCTCATGAAAACATATGAATAGAATATGATGCATTGCTGTAGATTCAACTACCCAACATTATATAAAGTAGATAAAATGAGCGCAACATTAAACATCTATAGCAGTAAAATGCAACATACACATTAACACAACAAAAACATTATATCTAATAGTAAAACACTGACTGGGACCATTTTTCTGCACAATGAGTACTTTTACTTTTGATTCTTTAAGTACATGTTGCTGATAATACTTACATATTTATACTTAAGTAAGGTTTGAATGCTGGCCTTTTACTTGCAGTGGGCTATTTTTACAGTGTGGTATTAGTACTTTTACTCAAGTAAAGGATCTGAACACTTCTTCCACTGCTGGTTATGTTATAAAATCACAACAATGTACTGATTGTACCATAAAGGCATGGTGATACTTCGTAAGAAAGATGTTGTATTATGTTTGCTGCCTGCTCTTCTTTTAGTGATAATTGTAAGAAGCAGACTGGAGGAAGCGTCCGACTGCAGTTAGAGAGTAAATTAAGTGGAAAACATGTGATGAAACAGATTGAAATCAAATGAAATGAAATTGTCTTTCATTCTGCCAGCTTCTCCATGACTCATATCAAAGTTTTTTGTAATAACTTTCATATGGAAAGTAGGCTTTCTGCCACAGTCTCTCTGGCAAAACAGCCATTACACAAAGCTGTGCTTGACGGAGCTGACCTGTGGGTGAAGTATAAAAGCAAGACCATACTCGCTATTTTAATCACTTATCTATGTGTTTTTGCCATTTTTCCCAGAACAAATACTGTTAAAAGAAAAGCGGATTAATGTGCGCCAAAGGGGACAGATAAAAGACTCTGATGAGCAAATTAATGCACTTTAATGTCAATCATCTGCGCTGACATGGCAATTGTCGGACCCTAGGTGAAGCAGTTTTGAGTAGTAAGAATGCTATAAATATATTTTTTTAAATACCCAAGACAAACTCTGTTTCTAGTTCTCTTCGTGGAAAATAAAGTACTAACAGATGGGTGGCGTTGGAAGATCCCAGATTAGGAGGAAGATGATGAAGCTGATTTCCAGTCAGATGAAGGACTTTTAGACGTGGAAGGCGACCAATGGAAACAATATCATCAGCTGACAAACTGTTGTAGGATAAATCCAAAACCTGTGAGGATTCAAATAAATTGTTTAGATAAATATGTCAACAAGATGAAATATAAAAAGAGGAGAAGTTATTGTTACAAGCATCCACTGGCTGAGTGCAATGATAAGATATTGTTATTTGAAATATTACCAATGTCACAGACCTAACTCAATAAACTCAAACATGAAACAGGTAAAAATATTAAAATTATATTTCTCATAAGGCATGATGCAGAAATCAGTAGATACACAACTTAAACTGGTAGTAAATGGTTTGTCACTAGTTGATATCAAAGCTCTTTTATTATGAAAGAAATGAAGATGTGAAAGAAGCTGCAAAATGAAGAGAGGAAGTGGACTAAAGAAGATCAGGAATACATGGAAATAAAAGGGTTTCAAGTTCTTGTTAGGACTAAAAAGACATGTGAAGTTGTATATTACTCCTGTGACAATATACAACATTAGAAATAGTAACGTTAATACCACTAGGGTATCTAATTTGTCATCTTACCTCGAGATGAGGGAAGTCAGCAGCTTGAAACGTCATGTTGCAAAGCCCGTTTAATGACAGATTGAGTTCTCTTAAAGAAACAAAACTGCTGAAAGACTCTGCAGGAAAACAAGTGACATTTTCTGGTGACTTTTTGCAAGAGGCACAAAATCTTATTGAAGGTGAATCTGCATGATATAAGAAGAATCACCTAAAGAGAGGGAGTTAACAGACGCATCGATGTAAGCCACATTGTCAAACACCTTGAGGTCTTCTGACTTGACCTGTGCACAGTAGGAAAAAGATATTCAACCGTTTTTAAACCAATACAAACAACCAAACAATTATAAAATGTGACAAGTGGTTCTTACAGAATTCAGTTTCTGCTCACTGATGTCAACCGAGCAGAGCTCAGACGGCTTATCAACACAATGTAACTGGAGCTACAAGAGAAAACTGAAAGCTGTGGGTTATATTCTGTCAAATAAGCAGTTCTCACACAAGTAGACCTCAGTGCCTTACCAGGAAAGGTCCATCTAACGTGTTACCATGAGGAGCATCGACCTCCCTGCTCTCACATTTATTGTAAGTCTCTATTATTCTTCTGTGCACATTGCTGTATTTCTGCTCCTCTGCCTTCCTGTAATCCACAAGCCAATGACCAGCACCTACAAGGAGAATCAAATTCAATGAAAACATGTAGATTCTGTAGATTAAATAATTGATTCACTGGCAAAAAAAAAATGTAATTAATGACAACTAATATTACCAAGCATTTACATTTATGAATGGCTTTGTGGTTGTTGTTTATTTGGGTTTTATTTATTGTTTTTCTACTTGCTAAAGAGAAAATATTATTAAATTATAACTGTGTAATTGTATTGCCTTTCTCCATCTTAATAACAATGAAGTATAACGTTACGTGCCTTAAGTTCGCCAAATGTTTATAATAGGCTCGTTAAACTTAACCCACCTTCTTTTCTTCGATGGAGTAATGTCCGGGCGGGGAAACATTTGGTAGGATATCTCTGTCCATTATCAAATTTATAGGATGCTGCAGTCATCTTGTTGATTATTACTCTTTTCACGGACTGAACTAACTTTAGTTACTTTGCTGCAGAGTATTTGATCTTCAGCTACACTGTAATGCTCTGTATCCTAGCAACAGCATGTAAGACGAGGAGCTGCTCCTCCCGTCCAGAGGGGGGCGGTAGTGGGGGAGACTGAGACCTCTTACAGGCGAAGGCGGAAGAAACCGGAGAGCCTAGCTAGTCAAAGATTGATTTCGGTGATAAGATAATGCACCGCCAAGCCAGCCCGCGGTTCTTTAAGACATTAAACACCGTATTGTTCCGAAGACGCAACAGTTTTCCAAACATGACACAAGGCGTTCAGTTATTGGTCGAGATGAATTCACCTTTGACCCGTGTTCGTTCAAACTGCTTAGCAAGCTAGCGTCTGAGCTGAATCGACCACATTGCGCATGCGTGACGCTGGGCGCCGGAGCAGCTTCTTGTTTTCTAATTGCGCTTATCCCCCTCGGAGTTAGTTATTGTGTGCAAGCAAGAATAAAGTCCAGCAATTGGTCGACCGAGCTGAGTGTATGGAGCTAAAGCTAGCGTTGGTCGTTAAACCCCAACGTGTACACAGTCAGTGGCGAGGACGCGTCTAAGCGAACACGGAAGTGAGTGCGACGGCTTCTCTCGCTTCAGTGGCGTCTTCTTTTGTGAAGAACCCATAGCATCAGTGTCGTGAACATCAGAGGCTCCTGGTGTGGCGTGAAATTAGACGGTATAATGCCGTTCACGCAGAGATCAAGGGCGACTGATGTGAAGAGAAGTGACGAGTGAAGGTAAGGGATTCGTCATGCATGCACTGCAGACGTTAGATGCTGTTTGTAACAATGCAGTCATATGTGTCTACGAGGAGCTGCTGGAGTGTGAACTCTTCCTCTGAGTCTGGGCTTAAAAAGATTGTTATAACAAGACTACAACACGAGCTAAGACTTGTCATGTATTTGTGTAATATGTGTTGTTCACAGGAGCTCTAATCCACCATGGGAAACACACCATCAAAGAGTGGCAGCGGAGATGAGCCGGTCAAAACAACTTTGTTTGAAAAAGAGCCAAGTGGCATAACATACAGAATTCCTGCTCTCGTTTATCTGAGGCACAGTCACACCTTCCTCGCCTTTGCAGAGAAAAGATCCTCGCCCTTTGACCACGATGCCAAAATTCTTGTTATGAGAAGAGGGGCGTTGAAAGATGATGGATCTGTTCAGGTTGTTATTCACACACACAATCACCAGGACCCTTTGCTTCAATGCTGATGACTGTCAACATTACCTGTGCTCATCTTTTTTTAATTGTTGTCTTTTGTCATGTTTTCTTCCAGTGGTCGTCCAGTCAGGAGCTGTTAACAGCATGTCTGCCAAACCACCGCACTATGAATCCTTGCCCTGTGTATGAAAAAAACAGCCAAACACTGTTTTTGTTTTTCATCTGTATCTGGAGGAACACCACAGAGATCAGGCAGATCCTCACAGGTAAGAACAAGGCCCGTCTTTGCTGTGTTAGCAGCAGCGACGACGGGCAGACCTGGAGTCAAGTGAAAGACTTAACAGAAAGCGTGATTGGCGATACGATCCACAAGTGGGCCACGTTCGCTGTGGGTCCAGGCCACGGTGTGCAGCTGGAGAACGGCAGATTGATCATCCCAGCGTATGCCTATTATGTCCCTCACAGATGTTGTTCCTACCCCATTCCTTTCACGGTCTACCCACGTGCACTGTCAGTATATAGTGAGGACTTTGGCCAGACGTGGCATATTGGTAAGATGCTTCGGAAAAAGTCGTGTGAATGTGAAATGGCGGAGATCATAGACCACGAGGGAAGGAGTCATCTTTACTGCAACGCTCGAAACACTGGAGGTCACAGATGTGAGGCCCTGAGTGAAAACAGCGGTGTGTATTTTGACAAACCCCACATTGCCCCAGAGCTCGTGGAACCACCTTCGGGCTGTCAAGGCAGCGTCATCGGTTTCCCAGCTCCTGAATTTGTCCCGAATGAAGACGCTGAAAGCAAAGCCTGTGGCACCTCGCTCTTGTCGCCGGACACGCAAACCTGGCTCCTGTTCATCCACCCGACCAACAAGTCTAGTAGGAGGGACATGGGCGTGTACTTGAACCGATCCCCCCTGCACTCGTCAGGATGGGACCGTCCCAGGATCATCCACAGGGGACCCAGCGGCTACTCAGACCTGGCTTACAACGGAGACAAGGATCAGTTTTCGTGCCTGATGGAGTGCGGGAAAGAAAGTGAACTTGAGCAGATTGCATTCATGTCGTTTAATCTTAATGATGTCATGCAGACGGGCGGTAAGAAAGACAAGAAGATGCGCTGAATCGCGGTTGCTTTATTTCTGTGTTAACAAAGCTCTCTTAACATTCTCCCGCAACCTAAAAGTCCAAACAAAAAGCCACTAAATATGCCGTGCAGTCACATCTGTCTGTGTTTACTGTTGTTCTACATTCTGGAGATGATGATGATGCATGCATGAGTCGTGTGTTTTGTTGTCTCCTTGTTTACATAAAAAAGTAATTCAAGTCTTAATAGTATCAATATGCAAGCAGCTGTATAAGGAAGGAAACTATTTTTAAAAGGTTTGGTTGCTGATTTCGAGCATGCTGTGCTGGACTGTCATCTTTAAAACAGGCTTTGTGTGTAGCATGTTTGACAAGTATTTCATACCCATTTCTGCATCTTATTAAGTTGTCAGTGTTTTCTGAGCAGTGGAGAGAATTTGCCTACCTCTTTTTATTTTCATATGAAGATCATAGCAGGCCTTGTAAAGTAGGGCGTAGGGTTTCCTCTATGCTCAGTCTCTCCTTAACATTTAGTATATATACTCTGATTCACATATGCCTTCTACTCCACTGTTTCAACTTAAGCTGTGCCACAGCCTGTCAGTGCACAACCTTTCTTGTAGGTCACAGTGGGTGCCGCAGAGTTGGCGACCGAACTGGACACAAAAGACCTTCGCTTTTTACTTGCCACATCCAGCAAATCAATTAAGAGACCAACCGAACTGTACGACGTCTGTGGGTTTTTGAAACATTTGATGGATTACTAGAGATATACGTCTGTCAAGAGCATTTGGGGCTACTTTGTACTGTACACTGATTTTTTATTACATTCATTTTCAAAAGCAATATTTCACCTGGTTACATTGTTTACTTTCCAGCGCACTTGGCATGGTTTTCTTAACAGCCTTTTTTTTTTTCCTCCTGGCATTAAGTGCAGCATTATGACCAGATATGATTGGGCTGGCTTTTGGTTATCAAATGAAAGCATGTAAGAGCATGTAACAGCAGATGAAGGCTCACCATTTATAAAGCCACTAGGAATTTGCACACACAAAACCTTGTACTGAGCGACTTTTAGCGTCCTTCTTCGCCTAATGTTGTGAGGCAAAAATGCCTCCAGGTGGTTCAACACTAGTTTCATTGTGTTTTTGTTGACTGTTGTGGAAAGTGACAGAACCTGCATGAAACATGTATTTTAGTAGAAAATAAAAGTAACCTGTGATCACCCAACTCATCTTTTGTTCAATTATGCACACATTTGTATTATAGTGCAATTACAGTAATTATTGCTTTTAATAGCCAACTGTTGGGATAAATCATTTAAAAAAACAAGTTAAACAGTAATCACCTGTAGACAGGGGTAAGGGATAAAATAATAGAGAGGGCATAGATGTGGTTTTAAAAGCAGCTATAAAAAACACTTTATCAGCTGTAGGGAGTATTTCATTCCCCCAGCAGCTAAAGGGGGCTTATGGCATGTTGAAATGTTGTGAAAGGCTGTTGTACAGTGACCTGTGGGGAGTTGAGCATGATTCACCAGATGTGCAGACAGCAGGGATGAATTAAGGACAGGGAAGAGTGTTTTAAGTTGAGGACAGAATGTGGATATTCTGTATTTTTCAAGTTTTCCAAATAATATGATGTCTCTTCTAGTATGGGTGTGGTAGTTATTGATTGGTTTACATGCAGTATCTGGACAAATTAAAATGTAAAGATCCCCTCCAGACATGTATTAAGACATATTTACAAATAATTAGACCTGAACAATAATGTGTGTCTGATGTATGTTTTTTCTGTCAAAGTATGAATTTCACATTAAAATCCTTGAAAAGGCATCTACTCCTTCTACCTCATTCAAATTTCCAGAATCTATAAATATGCTAATTTTGTTTTCCTGCTGGACACAAGATGTCTCCTACTGTGAAGTCCATTCTCAGTGTGTGTGTGCACTGGTGGCTTCAAGTTTCTACATCACATTTGAATAAGTTGCAAATTGGACCAGGATTGACTTGTAAACTATTTGTGATGTCACAAATACTGTTCATAGGCCCCGCCCCTTAAAACCAGATTTTCAGTAAGCACGGAGAAACTTTCCACTTTCAGCAGATGAAATTGAAAACATCCTTCTAGTGTCAAACTCTGCACAGACATCATTCTGCACAGTGACGCTCAAACATTCAACTGTAGGAACAAGAAGAAAAACATAATTTTGACTGGAGGGGGACTTTTTCTCAAAAAATTATTCACTAATACACCTTGAAGATTGTCACTTGTGATAATGCGCTTAGCAAGGCCTCCACAATGATGTTGCATTCTCAGTAAAAGCTCAAAGGATAAAACTAATGCTATTCTAAACGTGTCTTATTGTCAACAAATCCCTTGGAAAGAGCATACAAACAATATCTCTGTTAGTTTCCTTATTTCTGACTTCTTATTTCTCCCAGTGCGATGGAGTGGCTCACTGCTGTGTTGTTGTTAATAGTTATTGGACAAAGTAGAGGCATATAGCACAGAGGAATAAGATATCACATCAGGATCTGGCTGCAAAGGCACCACCAGCCTTATTATTTAAGTCAACTTAAAAGGAAGAATTAAAGAAATACTTATTTGTGGTTTTCTAATTGTGGTTCTTCTTGACACCCTGGTGTTGACTAACCAATGTGGGGTCCTCGAGATCACAACTTTAATGTAGTAATGCAGTAAATGTAGTAAATGGTGCAAGCACTCAACCCTCCCTTACTGACAGGGATTGTCTTACTCCATTCAGTTATTAAAATTGTGAGGGGATTTCAGTTGACATCTGTGCCCTTGGGTACACAGCAGCAGCTACAGGCCACATGGGACTTCAGTGCTGTGCCTCATCAATTTAATCACTGAACTGGTACAAAAGTAACAAAAAGGCAAGGTATTATGTGTACTTTATTAGATGTGGTGGCTTGAAAATCTCAAATGTGCTCATCTGCTGACCAGCTACTTCACTGCTTTCTGTTTTTCATCACCTTGTTCAGCCAGCGTCTTCACAGGAATGATGAATCATGTGGTGTAACCTGTTTTTCTCCAACAGCGTTGGCGGTGACACATCCAACATATGATAATGTTTATCAGAGGGTAGCTTGCTGTAATACACACACACATATGTTTCATCTATCACTCTGGTGACATTTGGGAGTCCAGTAACAGAGAGGCTAGCAGCGTTGGCGTCACAGATGTTTTTCTGTATGTGTCGTCCCAGCAGGCTCTGCTCTTTTAGCAGCACAGAGGAGTCGCGGCTGTCACATTGTTCTTGTACTATCCATTTGAACGACCCTGGGGCCCACAGGTGAAGAGCTTCCAGACATTTGGGAGGATGACAGGAGTCCAGCAGTCTGTGGTCTGAGTTATTTTTTGATTGTCTTGACTTTGACTTGGTAGCTCTAACCTTTTTACAACCTGTTATTTGCATGTTATAGTTGTCTTTTTATGTCTTGATTGTTGCGTATCCCTTGGAAAACAGGCATTTTTCCATAACATATAAATGACCTCCTTCTGATTAAATAGATTTAAGAGTCAATACTTTCCAAACCTCAAACTATATCATACTATAACATGCTAAATGGCAATTTGCTTTGTATTTTGATATGCAATGGTATATCGGTGTGTACACATGGTTAATAATTCAAAAGTGCCATTTTTCAAACCTTCATTTTGGTCTGGGCCTCTGTTATGCATATAATGAGTGAGCCTGCAAAACAAAGCTGTTTGTCACACATCTAACCATGGATAATAAAAAGAAAGTCTGGTCACGTCCACTAATACAATTTCACTCAACACTCAGGAATAGAATTAACAGCTTAAACTAAGTCTGCATGGTTAATGGATACTAATGTGCTAAATCTAGCTAGAATATAAACATCTCCAAAAAGAATATATCTCTTTCATTTAATATCCTACAGATGCACTATTGCTATGCTCTACACCTGTTGCTGACAGTGTCTACATTTGTCCAAAAACTTCCGTTTTCAGTGTAAAACTACAGGAAGCAGCGACACAAAGGCATTTACAGCCTCACTGGGTGCAGAAATAGGAGCAACTAAACAAGTTCAAGCTCTAGTCAATATTTGATAAGCTTTGTAAGTATGCATTATAGTTAGGAATGGGACAATATATGATATTATATCGATAAAACATACAAAATATGTGGTGGGGAATTTCCATTATCGTGATAATCGTGATTTGGGATAATTGTGATTATCTTTACATGGGTTGACTTACATGTTACAGCATACAGCCTTATATTGATTTCCTGATTTATTTTTAATAAGGGGCTCAAGGGGCAGCCCACATCTTTCCAGTCATTCCAAAATCCTAAGCCTGTCACCATGGCTGAAGCCTATTAAAAAAAGTTAAACCAGATGTGTGGAAATAGTATAGATTCCCAAATACAGAGCAGGGAGATCCGGTGCCTATCTGAGATTCAATAAACATATGTGTTTCTTAACAAAATAAATGTAAGGTAAAGTGATTCCATAATGTTTTAGTGCCATTTTGAAGTATGACGTATATATTTTCATGATTATCATAAAATCGTGTATTGCAATTATTTACTGCTGCTTGTTCTATCTGCATAAAAATGTTGAAAGAAAGTCACCATAGTTGTGTTAGTAATGGATGACCTTTTGTCCGAATCCCAATGTAGACGTTTCAACGACAGCTCTTCAGATTTTTATGTCACAGGTTCAAACACAGAAAGAAACATGTTGTGTGTTTGGTCCCTTTAGGTTAGATAGGTTTGAGCAACAGACATGATACATTCAGTGTAAGTAGTCTCATATCTCTTTTGGTTTCTCTTTGTTGCAAGACAGTAAAATATAAGTTATGCAGGCAAAGTTACATTTTCAAGGTTTGATTGAAGTATCTATGTACACTGGAAGCTACACTCAGTTGAACTGTACATCATCACAGAGTCACAGAGGGGGCAACGTTTCAGATGCTCCTTCAGGAATTCTTTCATGATTCATTTAACCTTTTATCTCGTTATCTCGCTGCCAAACAGATAAGCCTATTTACAGTACAATTTAACCTTGTACCAACTGAAACAACTTCATTTATCAAAACACATCCCACTCTGGAGATTAGTGCTGTTTTCATGGGAAATCACAAAAGGAACAAATCCTCCCTTCACATTACAAAGTATTGAAGTCAATACAAAACTAAAGGGAATAGACATGAAAAGCACAGTATAAAATGAGTTGTGCGTGTGTGCAAGAGTCAAGGGAACAAATAATACAGAGAGAGAAAACTCCCAGAGAAATGAGCAGAGAAGCTATATTTTCAGGCTTCCACAAAAAAAAAAGTTACATTTGCTAAATCTTACCCCAAGTGACCTGTGGCAAGAGTAATATCACATTTGATAAACTCAAGACTTATGTCCTATCATTTGAAAACTACTAGTTCACCACAGTGTGTCCAAATCTCTGTGTCGGATGCTCAGTGACCTTGCCATATAGTCCAACTGCCTCAAAACCTTTGATTTAGGAACAACGATGCTCTTCGCAGGAACGGCATCGTTGAAAGTGATGTCAACATCTTTTGATACAGTTTAGGACAATACAAAGATTATATGTCAGATGGACACACAGCCGTGTCTTCAGACTGCAGAGAGTCTTTAAAGCAAGAGTGCCCACCAGCACAGATCCTGGATTGAACTGCTAGATCATTTAGAGTAAAAAAAATGGCTTACAAGGGCACTGCAAATCTACATAAGCCATAAAAGCCATGCCACATTTACACCCTGTTAGGGCTATTCTCTCTTAAAGGGACATGCGCACAGTTTACAAACAGAGGAGGCAAAAAGACTGCTGAGAAAGCAGCAGGGTTGGGAAAGTTACTTTTTAAATCTCACCCACTACTGATTCCTGATTGCCAAATTTAAGTTGTTATAACTAACATAATGCACTTTAATTTAAAAGCCAGCTACAATATGATCCATTCATTTTAATTTAGATCCCGTAATTTGTTATTCCAGTATGTGTAAAAATGTGTCAATTTATCTCTTTTTTCAAAAGCATGTGATCTGTTCTTTTTTTAAACTTACACGAGACAGGATTACTGGTTTTTTTTTTTTTTTTTTTTTTTAACGGGTAGATCACTGTACTGGCTCTACAAGTAATCCATTGTTCCCAACCCTGTAAAGCAGTGAGCGTGGCAGACCAGTCACATGCACACTATGGGAAATGTTAGGCTAGACACATGAGTACTAACCTTTGGCTCTCTGGCTGCTGGGTACTAAACATCATACAGAATAACAGGCAGCTGCGAGGGGAGGAGACTCGGATGTCCAATGAAAGCACCGTTCACGCAGTAAAGTTGCATTTTAGCACAGAGGTGTTTTTTTTTTTCCACTTTAGAACATTTGATTAACAAGAGTCAAATCCGCTTTGACAGCAGTTGAATATCTGTCAACCCCTCTTGGTCTCTGTGGGCGGCAGAGTCCTGTTGCTCCAACCAGCTTAAGCCTCCCTCTCTGTAGAAATAATTAGTCTGTGAACAATCGGCAGTGAGCAATATATGACCTGTTATTTTTTTTGTTTTTTCACAATTTAGAGATCTTCTTTTTTTCATACATGACACAATGTATTGCGCAAAATGGATATGCGCACATACTGGAAGCATAATGTTGCTGAGGACATGCAAGTTGTTGAGTATACAGCAGAGCAAAAAGCGATGTTTCCCAATGTCATTGTCTTCCTTATCTTCTTGAAACATCATCTGTCACTCAGATTTGCATCTTCAAGCGCGCAACTCTTTCTTTGAGTGTGGCTTATTTCCCAGCAGGGCATCAATCTCAGTAATGGTTTGAGGGGTCATTTGAGATAAAATCTGCGAGGAGGAAGGAAGGACGACAATCAGTTTAGAATATGAGCTGTTACCTTTTGTCACTTTCAAAACCTTGTATTGCACGAAAAGTTGCATATCTATTGGTTCAAACAACTATGGCTCAGTGACAGGCAAAATTATTGATGTGGGAGGAAAAAAGTTGGGAAATAAAATCTACCCGGAGGGCACCCAGGTTCTCAAGCAGCTGGTCTGCAGTAGAAACACCCAGAAGTACTGAGCTGACTCCCTCACTGCGCAGACACCAGGCTGTAAAACAGAGAAAAAAAACTGTGAAACCGAGGAGTAGTGGCCAAATTTACATTTTTTAAATTTTTTACAGGATCACATGCCACTGTTATAAATTTAGGGTCGCAACACATTTATAGCAGATAGCAAAGATACGTGGAGGACAAACCATGCTTTCTGAACAATAAACACTACTGATTATATGGAAAAAAGTAATGTAATAAACTAATAGGGTCATTGATCAGGAGTAAAGTGGTTGCACACAGGCAGACAGGCCACAGGCAACATTCATGTGAAACTTTGCCATTGCATAATCAATCAAAGCACTTTTATCTTACGTGTGAAACAGTTGAACAAACATTTTGAATCAATAGTTTTAGACTCTGGCAGTACCACAAAACATTTAAGATGTTAAGATTTGAGAAAAATGCTAATTTAAAACAGATCAATCCTGACCTCCAGCCACACACCAATAAAATAAACAAAGAAGTCTCTGTGTGTCTCCAATGTACCATCCTTTTATTTGCCTGGGTCGTACCTATGGCTAACTGTGCAGCAGTGCAGCCCAGTCTGTCTGCCAGTAGATGGAGCTCCTTGATTTTAGCGAGCTGCCTGCGGCCCTCCTCGCTGTTCACTCGCTCCTTCAGCCACTGGTATCCCTTCACCAGGAGCAAAATGGAGAAACAGCATTGATACAGTACTGATTTCACACTGCAATACCCCACTGATCAGGGAGAAAATTACACTGAGGCTGGTTTTCACAGAGAGGAATCCCAGAGGAAGCCAGTCAAATCAAACTGACCTTCATTGCTGCTCTGGAGCACTCTGGTACACCATCACTGTACTTCCCTGTGATTAATCCACAAGCAAGTGGAGACCAGGTCATGGCTCCTACACCTGAAAGAGTGGGATAGGGATAGTAAATCGAATGACACAAAATGAACCTTTATTAAAAGATAAATCCAGCTAGTGAGACTGTGGATGTCTGACCGATCTTGTGGTAGAGCTCGGGAAGCTGCACCTCGACTTTATCCCTCTGGAAATAGTGATACTCTGCCTGTTCACACACAGGTGGTATGAGGTTGAACTGGCGTGCCACAGAGTACGCCTCCTGGTGCCAGGCAGACAGAAACAAAATGTCATGGTTACCGATTAGCATTTATGCCATAAGCTGGCAGCATTACATTACATTTGTGAGAGTGAGCTTTTCTGAATGGGAGATCAGCATTCACCATGATTTCCATGGCACTCCAGCGTGAGGTTCCCCAGTACATGGCCATACCCTGGTTTATTACAAACGTCATGGCCCGTACAATCTCTGCAAATCACAGTATGTAAAATCACGTTAACATTTCATTTATTTTATCACCCTAAAGCAATTGTTTGCAGCTTTTTCATGCAGAGATAAAACACATGTAAGCACATATTCACACCTGACTACCACTATGACTAACACAATATCTGCACAAGCAAACATCTAAAACTGACCTTCCATCGGACTGTTGACATCATTTCTGTTGGCAAAAACGATGTCCACATAATCTAGTTGCAGTCTTGATAAGGATCCTCTTAAACCTGTCATAAACAATGGTCAATGATTAATCATCATCATCATCACCAGTTTGTTCATCCTAAGAAACTACAGCCATGCTAGCGGCTCTGTGGGGCTGTACCCGGACACAGCTGTGCTTTGAACTAAACGTCATCATGCTAACATGTGCACAATGACAATGCTAACACGATGATGGTGAGCAGGTATAATGTTTACTATAATCATCATATGGTTTAGTGCGTTAACATGCTAACATTTGCTAATTAGCACTAAACAGAGAGTACCGTTAAAGCTAATGGGAATGTCCGTATTGGACAAATTGAAATTTTGACCTGATGATGGTGCTAGATGAAAAGTTAATGGATTAACAATTACAATTTATCCTGAGGGGGACATGAATGTCTCTACCAAATTTAATGGCAATCCATCCAACAGTTGTTGAGTTATTTCACTAAAACCTACACATGTCAACATCATTGTGGCGCTAGATGAAAATTCAGGGGATGAACAGAGTCATTAGGATAACCCCTCTAGGAAGAATGACTGTGCATCCATCCATTTCAGCTTGAACCAAAGTGGTGAACCAACTAGCCGACCAACAGGCCAGCATTGCCATGCATAGAGCAAGGGCTTACATGGTTAAAAACAAGCAGGAATAAATTGGGGAAAAGAGCATTTACGCAGTATTGTAACCCTGCAGATTCCCAATAAACATGCTCAACACAATACTGGAGCCTAAAATCTATTATTTTACAGGGGGGGATGCTGTTCTTGGAAAAAAGAAACATTTCTAGATGTTCTTTCTACTCAAATGTCCTCCTGTGTGGCAACCTTGGGTCTGTTATTAATTCACTGTAGAGGTTAAAATCACAAATGAAGTGAAATATGAAGTCCAAACATGTTCCCTGCACATAGTTCACTCATGGCCTCAAATCAAAAGCCTCATGACAATGACGGTCACACAGCCCTTTCAGCTCCTTGGTAAATGGTCACCTCAAGGCCATACGACTTACAAAACAAAGAACATGACCATACAAGGCCAATAGCCTCTCAGCTTTCTCTAGGATTATTTTTGGGAGGGGGGTGCTGGAAAAACAATGTTTCTGACTTGTTATTTGCACCGACACTTCATCTCGACATTCCCTCATCTGATCTCCTGTACTTCTGTCTTCCTTTCTCCCAGACGTGAGGCAGACGAATAAAAGTCCTCATCTGATTTCACTCTTTATTTCCATTTATCAGCTTCATCATTCTCTCCTTCCATTAAATCATCCATCTCCTACTAACACATCTTTGCAACCATAAACTACAGCAAAGCAACATACTTGTTTAGTTTTGTTGTTTTTTTTTCTTTAGCTGTTACGAAACTCAGTAATTTATTTGATTTTACGGCGTATTGATGTATGTACTGTGACATGTGACATGGAGTGGCTCTAACTGAGCGAGAGAAACAGTGCCCACACTCACAGATTAATCATCAAATGATTCATCGCAACTCAGCGTCTGATTAGGGGGTTGAACTAATGCACTCTGGGAAACATTGTATATACAATAAACCACACTCTAATACAACAGACTTTTGCCCTCTAATTAATCTCAAAACCTTTCCTGATTCCTGTTTTTAACTTTTATTTTACCTGATTATATTTGAGCTGTAAGATTACATGTACTGAGCCTAACCCTAACCCTGAACCTGCTCGGTTATGATTCTTTATAAATGAATTCCGATGACTTTACTGTAAATAATTTATTATACTACCTTCAATAATGTGCTTTCTGGAGAGTCCTCTCTCTGTCTCTGCTCTGTGGAGTGATGAAAGGACATATTATTGATGTTCTGTTGAAACGGTAAATGAAAACAATGAATCTGAGTGGAGAAAAAAAGCATACAGTCTTTTACTGTTGTACTTACTGGCCTCCCCAATAAATCTTTGTTGTGATGACAAAACTTGAACGCCTGGCAAGGACACAGGAGGGTTAGAAGTTAATTATGGAGAAAATCTTCTGTTTTTAACACTATGTTAAGTATGTAAGTACAACAGATGTAGTTTCTTTCTCTGTGCCTGTAATCTTTGGTACATTAATACATGACTATATCTGGACCCATATTGTATTTTACTTTTTCTTTCTTTTGACGTATTTATGTATCCAAAATCTTTCACCATATTAAAAATATCTCAAGGGTTTCCCACATGTTTTGCGATCTGGGAGTTTATTTTCACATTTTTATCCTTTTATAGTCTTTCTGAAGCTAAAGATCTTCATTTTTCTAAAAAGCATGAATTTCCCTTGAGATAATTTATGGTGCGCCTGTTCCAAAAGTAATAAAAACATGTAGAAGTGCAGTGCATTTCAGGAAAGCAAGGGATTATCAGGGATTATGAAGCTTTCAAAAGATATATTCATGATCTAATAGAGTTAGAAAGCTTTTCACGTGTATGTGAGTCAGTTTGGAAAAATGAGTAATATCACCTCCATCCTTTCTTCTTGATAATGTTCCCTAGAGTGATTTCCGCTCTGTGGAGAGACACATAATTTATTGTGATGGGGTGGTGCTAACTTCAGATCACTGCACAATATTGTTACATCATACAGTAAATGTTCAGACGTGTCACATGTTTGTTGAAGATGAGCACATAGCTGTTCATTGAGGAAATGAAGAACACGTAAAAACTTTTAATGGATGCCTGGAGGAAAATGCGAAGTCTGACCTTCCAGAAGCATACACCTCTGCTGTGTCAAACAGGTTCACTCCGTTCTCATAAGCTATGGCCATCAGGTTCTCAGCCATCTGGGGAAACACAAACACTGAGACTGAGAGAGGTGGATGATGGAAAAATTCCAATTACCCTGAGGTCGCCCATTAAGGGCACTATGCAGGGTTGATAATACAGTAGAGATCATATCTACGGTACTATCTCACCATGTTACTTTAGTTTTCAGGTATCAGGTCGCTGGGATTTTAAAACATATCTAAACTTGAAAACACTGAGATTTGCGCTCACAGTGCAGAGTTTTTTCCACAAAAGCAATATGAGTGAACGTGCTCGGGAATTGACGTCTCGCAAAACAGAGAAAGACAAGAGAATTCTCACCTCATCAGAGATCTGCGATCCAAATGTCACCCAGGTGCCTGAACGAGAGCGGAGAGAGAGACGTTTGTTTTGTTTGTGGGGTTGAAAAAGAGAGGAAAATTTTCCTGCCTTCAAACCAACTCACCTAACCCGAGGCAGGAAACACGTAGGCCCGACTTCCCCAGGTTCCTGCGGAAAATAAGAAAGACAAAACCGTCTATGAAGCTCAGAAATAAACAATGGGAACAGACGGTATGATGTGCAGGTATTTAAGATACATCTGCTGATCTTCATCTTACAGTACGCTGATGTGTGTGAGTGACAAGCAAAGAGCAAAATAAATGAATGGTGAGAAGACTTGGTTATTTTGTCTTTTATGCTATTTTATACAATTTTGTACCTTTACTTCAGTAAATTTCAGGCAAATATTTATATGGCAGCTGTGGTTACTAGCTACTTTACGAAAAAAATATGATGCATCATTATAGATTAAACTAACCAACAGTTAAAATTAGCTCCACATTTACCAGCCACAACCTTCAAATGTTAATGCAAATACCGCATTGCATTTACATAGAGTACATATTTACCAATAATATTTTGATACAGTAGTATTTTAACAATGCCACTCAGTTAGGGGAATTCTTTGGTTTAGTCTTTTCTGTACATGCAAAACAAAAAATACTGAAAACTAAAAAACGGACTCAATCTTTCATGGACCATGAACATACAAAAAATAAGAATTATTAATTATAATTAAGCAAATACGATGTAAATGTAAAGATAACTTATTTCCATAGTGTTTGTGGATATAAATATCTCTCCCACTACTGTTGCTGAGTGAAAATCTTTCTTGCCTGTGGTCAAATTACTGCCCTGTCTAATTATTTCGGAGCAATTGACCTTTTATCCTTCGTATGTTAACAGTTCAGTGTATTACAGTGGGTCAGTGAAACAGCTGCAGGGAACAGAGCTCAGATACAGAGTCCAGGCAAAAGCTTCCCTGGTCTGTGCGGTAAATGGCCCAAAATGTTCCATAAGCTAAAGAGGAGTCCATTACCCAACATGCCACATCTGATTATCCAGACAGCTGAATTTTGAAGGGCAAGCGGGGAGAAGCAGAAAGCTGCATTTCTGACCACAGGAGCATGCACAGCTGAAAATGGTGTGGGCTTCATGCGTGCGCTCCTCCTCCATGCATGCTCTCCCCCATTCTAATTAGCCGGGGAGCCAGCTGGAGAGGCGGCAGAACTGCAGTGCAACTTGCTGCTCGCCGTCTTTTCATCTCCAGCGCCTCTCCCCTCTCTGCCTGCCTGCCTGCCTGCCTGCGTCCGCCACAAATAGCCAAATGCAGGAAGACAGACTGTCAGAGCATTTAGACTCAGTCGAACGAGTCCTGCTTTTATTTTCTGCTGTCTATTTTTAATGCCTGACCTTAAGCTATTTTTAGATTCCTGCATATGTAAGCATTTGTGTCTGTGCCACTGTGTGAGCGTTTGCTGTGTGGGGGTGTCAGTGTTCATGTGTGCACTGTGTGTGGGTGTCAAATGCATATTGTTTGTGTCATTTCTTTAAACTCTGTCAAAATAGCACACAGGTGGAAGGTCAGGGATGCTATAGAGGGAAAAAGTATAAGTTGGGTTTGATGTAGATGATTCCTTGTATGGTAATCTGGCTCTGGTTTGTCAACCAATGATAGCTTTGCCTGTTCTCTCACACTGACTGTCACTTTGAACACTGGGAGTAAATAAAAATGAGGCACATGGGAGAAAACACACTTCAGACAGCTTTTTCTAAAGCTTTTTTTTTTCAAATAATTGTTTTTTTTTTCATTTGTTTTGTTGTCCTTTACTGGTATTTTTTCATGACATCCATTAAAATATGCCTTTTTTGCCTCAACTTCAGTCAGTGGAAGTCAAAGCTAGCAACGTCTAGCAACGTTTGACAAGGTTGGACCAATAACAGCATCTCCAAAAATATTCCCTGCTAGTTAAAACAGCTTTACTCAGTTTCACAGCAAAAAGAAAGGCCTGAAATTCATCAAACACAGCCGCAATTAGGTCTCAACTTCACCTGCAAGATAACGACTGTATCTGCATTCTCAGAGCAGATAAATGATGGTGAAAAGATTAATATTATATTCACTTTTCCTTTTTTTTTAAACCATTATATTCAGCAGGTTGTTTGTGGGGTTATTTTCATTATATTAACTACATTTAAATTTTCCGTTTTATATCTTTAGCATTATGTAGGAAAAGCCTATTATTTAGCCTCAGGCTCTCTTGCACTGGTACTAAATGTGAATTAATGACATTAATAAAGCCTGGGTCCACCTTAGTCATATCCACATTATTTTCCATCCTTCCCTTTTCAATGTGTAACATGGTGAAAAAATGAAAGGGTTATATATGACAAATGAAAAAAATGAAAGAACTAAACATGAGTCAGCATTCGGAGAATGTCAAGCATCTAGCAGCATCCACAACTGTTACACAAACACACTCTTTCTCTGTTTCAATGCGCTTATATTCAGTATGCTTTTTCAAGATGGAAAATAAGTGCGTGAAGCTGACAGACCAACATGTTCAGTTAACACCGTGCATGAGCACAACATAACAGAGGCAAGTGAGACACCAGCATGCTTTGGTGGGTGCGTTTCATGATTGCTTTGCCACATAAAATACCTTTTTTTTTTTTGTTTCTGGGCAATGGAGGATGTCATTGTTTCTGTGTGTGACAACTGGCCACCCCCACCCCTGCTCTCAACTCCACCGCTCTCTGCAGTGCTGCAGTCTGCTAAATTACTATCAGTGAGTCTGGAGAGACACATGCTCTCTCTTCCTTCTCACTATCTCCTTCGTGACAGTCTCTCCCACTCTCTCTCTCTCTCTCTCTCTCTCTCTCTCTCTCTCACTCTCTCATACGTGCACACAGACTCCCGGCCTATATTTCACTTGACACGGTTTTGGCGGACGTTAATGCGAAAACTGACGACTGACGAGATCTATATTGTGCAAGCGTCAGTGGGGCCGGTCGATGCTTTCACGTGCACATTCACGCTTGATGGGAATTACACTCCAACACAGGCACAGATCTACATACGGTCACGCATGAATGCACTTGTGAGCTTGCAGAGTCACAGACGCAGCCTTTATAAGTAGGACTGCTTTCTGGTTTCTTGCCTATTATTTTTCTCCCGCCATAAATCATGAACTCCAAACAAGGTGATTAAAGGGACTCGGCTGTTCCACAAATTATTAATGGAGGAGAGAGAGGAGACACACAGGTGCTCTGTCATGGTGTAGTCAGCATTTTAACCTGTGCTGACATTCACAGTTAGTTTTCACCTGAGACAGGAGGAAGACACTATATACAGATGGTTAGGCGCAAATGATGGAGGTTTTTTTTCTGCAGTTGTCATAAAATGCCACACACATGCTGAGCAGGCTGTTCTCCAGGGGGAAGCACACCTAGATATTAATAACGCTCACGTCAGTGCATGGGTGTGTGTGTGCTTATACATGCATTTTTTTGTGGAGAGATGGTGGACTGTCTGTTCTCTTTTAATAATGCTGTATACACACGTTTCAGGGTTTCAAAGGGGTCAGTTCACCCAAATTACAATACAGTACAGTATTTTTTCACCCATGCAGAGGTTTCTCCCTCTACCTTAATACGATGGAGGCGAATGAAATGAATTTTATTTTTTTGGTGCTCTCAGCATTGATAATTACTTCTTTTTTAAAAAAACAAAACCAACATCTTGTTTCTTTATTATCTGTCCTTGCAACTAATGGAAAATCCGCTGACCTGTTAACAGTTTTCAAAGAGACTATTTCTTTGGAGTAGTTTCACTGAAAAGTGAAATCTGAAGAGTATCCAGAGTATCAGGGACATTATTTCTGTTGCTGCTGAATTAAAAGAAATATTGTTCAATGCTCTGAACACCACAAACAAAATCCCCTTCACTTCCAATGTACTGAGGTAGAGGCAGACATTTCAAAGTCCGACATCTAAAGACCTGGACAAATAAAACAAAAACTCTAGATATAAGAAAATGTATTTTGTGTATGAAGTGTGACAGCCGTCTAATTCTTGGTTCAGCTGTTATTAATGAATTAGGCTAAACAGCAGACTTTTCATGTAAGGTGATGTTTTTTAATTCAGTTATATTAAAACAGTTTAGGAAAGTAGGTCTGTCCTAATTATGAAATGCACATGCTTTGAGCGGAGCAAATGGAAAGGAAAAAAGCACAAAGACAGACACACACACGCACGCACACACACAAACTCAGCTGCTCTCCTTCAAAGTTGCATCTCAACTGCTAACACTTCATTAGTGGTCGTGACTCTCCTATTAACCAAACTCGCATGTAATGAAGTGGCACAGTTGAGAGATCACGCTAGCTGATATTCAAATTGTGAACCTCTTTATATTCGTGTGAATGGTCTGTTTTTCTATTCAAAGTTTGGGGCTGGACAAAAGGACGTATGTAGCCCTCCACAGATTCTGTTTTGAAGGGGGAACTGGGTGTAAGATGTTACTTAAGGGTGAAACGATGCGAAAATGAGTTTGAACTCTCTCAATGTGTTCAAAAAGGAGTTTATTAATGAAATTCAGTGTTTGAGAAGGTCGCTGCTCTGTGCTGCTACATGCCGGCCTGTTATATGTCTGTTGAGAGAGAGATGAAGCCGAATATTGGAAAGATATATCAGTTTCCTGGTCTGCTGTCTCATAAATATAGACTTTGACAGCTCAAGCGGAATTTAAAATGATTAAATACTGTTGCTAAGGTGTTCTTGAGTATCAGTTTCTCTTGTGTGATTTAAAATAAACTATTTTGCTACTTTGCCACAATGAAATAAGTGGTTATATCTGTATCTTCTCAATATATTGCCCATATTCCAGACAGAATATTGGCTGAAATTGAGACTTTTTAAAACTAAAGCTTCATTAGTATATTACTCCACCAACCTAAATAAACTAAATGTAATGATAAGATTTTGAATTTAGATCATATATTTAAATACTTTTTGAGACTTTTCCAGGACCCGTGGAGACTCTTCTTCATTAGGCTTTGTTTCTGCTCTTACATAATGACATGCAATGATGATTCTGTCAGACTTTGACAAGACGGCCCATTCAGAGAATGTGATGTGGATTTTCTTGCTCTGATTATGACGCCTGCAGTTCAGAACAAGCCTTCATCCCATCGCTTCCATCCGCAGACAAATATTGACAAACGTAAGCCTCGTTAAACAACACTGACCCAGCAGTCTCTTCACGTTTTGAAAATATTAACTTATCTGCTTTATGCACTTTTTATGAGCAACAGCAACTTGTTCATATGTATTAGTATGCAGATACAATCTTCTTTGCAGTTCAGCAGCCACTAACAGATCACAGTTTGGATATATTCTGGTTGCCAGGCAGAAAGAAATCAAGCAAGTGAAGATACAGGGTGACTTTGTCTAAAACTTGTTGCAGGACCTCAAAGTGATCTCTCTTATCTGTTCAGTCAACTGGAAACTCAAAAATCCAGAGCGAGGAGAGTTGAAGGTCAAGGTTGATGCAGGATGCGCTAATCTTCTCCCCCACTCTGCTGAACAAACCATTTGTTTCCACTACGAAGCCAAATTACTTAATTATCACTTAATTATTATTCATGATGACTCCACTCTGTGAAGTTCATATTTTATCACTGTTTGGGATTCATTACCAGTTAAATACATGTGCTGTCCATAGGGTTTTTATCAAAGCAGGGAATAGGCTTGCTAATTTCTCCACCGCTAAGCTTTTATGGATGAGGCAACTCTAAAACCACATTACTTAGAGTAAATAGTCTGGGGTTGAATTATCAAACTGAGGCTGTGAAGTCATTGTGCTCTCAGCATGTATAACAGGGTACAATGGGCATACTGTGAGAGTGATAAGACTGGGGCTGGATCACTGTATCACAGCAATAAATGACCACAGTATATCTGTAAAACTCGACAGGGTTGTTCATCAGTGCAAACGACTCAATCATCACTTCATCAGATGCTGAGAGTTCAGGCTTTCAAAACTCAATGTTAGAGTGTGCTCTGATAGAGAACAGCACCTCTCTGCACAGTTTAATGTCAGGACACTTCAAATCCTGATACAAATGCAAACACGTGTAAGTGTCAGCTCTCCAGCTAAACATGCAACTGAATATCATTATTACAGTAATTTGCTTTTGTGGTATATCACCTTTGCACTGGACTTTTCTATGTGTTATCTGGTTTAGCGATCTAGTTTATTCTGTGAAAACGTGTACTTGTTGCATCAACTAGACAGGACTAGAGTTTATGACATCAGCGTGAGAGCAGCAGGAACACCAAGTCCTAAATATTTAGTGACAGAGATTGTTACCATAGCAATTGTTGGACAAAATAAACTTTCTACCACATCACAGCATCTGGGGAAACTCTTTGTGCTGGTGAAGACCATGAGATGTGGTTCAAAACTCTAGAAAATGCTAGTAAGTGGACCTTGAGTTGCTTGCTCTTAGTCTAAAGGGACATAGCAAAATTATAAGCGTCCCACACTGACTGCTCTACCTAAGGCCATTGAACTGTCGAAGGGATAGTCCTAACAGTTCCACTCTACCGCTAGCAGCCGTTACCTTACTCAGCATAAATACATTTCACATGCCACTTACTAATTAACACGTTATATTTCTTTTAATCTGGAAGTGCTAACGACACACTGTGGTTTTACCAGGTAATGTGCTGGACTGTTTCCTGGCCGGGTGCGGTCACTTCCTGGAGTCTTCCAAAGAATGTTTGGAGTCTTCTTGTGACCATGAGGTTGCCAGGCAACTGGCAGAGACTCCCCCTGTTTCCAGTCTTTGTGCTAAGCTAAGCTAATTGGCTGCTGGCTTTAGCTTCATATTTAGTCTACAGACACTAAATTGTCTGAGTCGTCCTCTTCCTCTCTGCCACAATGCCAGTAATTGTATTTCTCAAAATATTAAACTATTCATTTGACATATTTGGAGCTAAATTCACTGAACACAACCAAACTGTTGGATTTAGAAACAGCAGATTGGCATTCATGTGTCCTCATCCCTAAACTCCTTCCAGCCTTTCCTGCTGTCATTGACGTTGTTTCAGAAGCTACAACCAAAATGTTCTTCATTAGTGTTTGACTCTCTTCCCTGTGTACCACGGCGTTGAATGTTTCATATTGTTCTAAATATGCCGACCCTCATTACAAGCTTCTCCTGTCACTCACGCATTAAGATAGTGGCATCGATGTGTCCTGCAGCCATTGGATTACAAAAATCACTGAGAAGTGTCCAAAAGTGGCAGATAAATCTTTGCTGGAAATGCACCTGACCTGCTTACCAGGTAGCTGTTGGTGAAATGTGAGGGCCTGGTTGCCATAGAGACGGCCAATTTGCTGAGTGACAGAACTTCGCCTGCCTGACTTGTAGACTCACCTCTCCACAGCTCCCAAAAAAGACTGTTTTCTAACCATTTCAAAAGACTTTAAAATACCCAACACAGTTATATGAACATCAATTGTTCATTCGGGTAAAACTACGTGATTATCTAATGTGACTTTGTGGTTTTCTTGCACAAGCTTGTCCAAAAATTATTGTCATTCACACAATGATCAATCCAAGTCTTTGACGATATTACTAGTATATGTTAAAGATAATGAAAAATGATGTTTAAATATTGATTTATTAGCACTTTATGTAAAGATTTATCGGGTTTTCCCTGGAGACATAAACAGCAGTGAATATAAAAAATCCCTGACCAGCCATTTCTCTGATGTAGTTTGCACATTGGTCACCTTTTCATCACCCTTTTCCTTATCTTACAGACCACGCACAGACATGCGCACATGTTTTCAATGCTCCAGTGCACCGCAACAGCGTTCACTGTAGTATTTTAAAGAAAATTAGAAACAAATTGAGACACTTAGATCAAAGAAATGCGATAAAGAGAGAGTCAAACAGAGAGAGTTGGGGCAGGGGGTGACAGCAGGGGTTCATGGGAGTGATAACTGGCAGCATGTGCCATCATCTGTGACCTGCCGGTGAGTGATGATTACCCATATTAATGAGATAGCAGGAGGGATTAGAAAACACGCAGTCAAACAGGGCAAATAGTGGTAACGATAGGTACCATCTGGAAAATGGACTACGGATGAGATCCTGTTCACTTGCAACTGTACACTTATGCTCTGTGGTATTCATGTGGCCTCAATCAATGTCATGTCACGAAATCTCCAACATTTACTCCCTGCATGGATACACAGATTCATACAGCATGCCGACATGTTTTATGTACATTCCTGTTTCTCCCTGACAGTCGGAGTGTGACAGCAGTGTAAAATGGAGAATGCGTGACCACTGTGCCACACTCTGTGGCCGGGTGGTGGGGCTTTGAGCGGATTCAGTTGCTGAAGGGACTGATAACTGACAGCAGTGCTGGCTGATTAGGAAATAAGACAGACAAAAACTAAAGGCAATGCCTGGGGTGTTGCCCCTGGCAACTGGAGCTGGCCATATGCTGTATAGACTTATTGTGCTGCTGCACTCCCTATTAGTGACACTTTTCCTGAGGCAGCAGAGCAACCAGAATAATCCAACCCAATCAGAAGTATGCATGCAGTTCTCAAGGAGGAAAAAAAAGAGTAGTGGAGGTATCCAGGTTTTGTCTTGGGCCTCATTCCCATTTTAAACATCCTATTAAATGAAAACTAAATTGACTGAAGAGAATGGCAGCGATTCAATCAACCTGATTACCAGGAAAACAGGTCATTAAAACTCTCCTCTTAGTTATTGCATTTTACAGTCTAAATGAAGGGAGCAGGCAGTAGGAGGGCATGGTCTTATAGATTATGGATGCTGTGTGTTTTTGTGTGCTTATTCATATAAATGTGCATTATTTTCCTCTGCTCTCTGTTAGTGGAGGCAGCTGTCCTTGTTAAGCTGAGGCTCTAATCCATCAAGGTGAAGTGAATCAGATTCTTTGCCAATAACTAAGAGACAGGGAAAGAACAAATTACATTCCTTTCTTGCTGTTTATCTCATCACCCCCCCTACATTATGACTCAGGCCTGATGTGTGCAACATTACTTTTCTGTGCATAGGATACTCGGCTGCACCACTATATTATGAAAATGAAATGCTTTTAAAACCTCAAGAAAAGCTGGGTGTCCTAGGGTGATTTTAGGTAAGCTGTTATAGGAGGGTTTTTTATTAATCTGTGGTGAAGAGCAAGAGGCCAGGGTGAAATCTGCATAAAAAGCCTATGGCAGATGCTCCTATGCATACTGTCTGTTATGCCGTGATAACATTATGGCTGTTTGGTATGGATTATATAAGCATTTTTACATCCATCAGTGTGCACGTTTTTTAAGGGGTAAATGTCCTCTTTTTTATAATGTCAGTAAAATCACTGCTGTCTGTGCACTCAATGAGGTTGCTAATGGGTAGGCAGCCTGCACAATATTTTACAGAATGCATTTGAGCTAACCTTAAATTCACCTCACATCTCAACAGGAGATCAACAGAGACAGGAATAAAAGAAAGCCTGGCTGGTAGAGCTTTGTGATGCGAGGTTGGCTGTTCACATCACCTGCAGAGGATTTGCCACAGATGCTCATTATGATAATCTAGTACCTGCAAGATAATCTGGGGGTCAGAAGGCCGGAGTAATCAAAGCGAAATGAAAACCATCCTGTTGGTGGGAATTAACCCTCCACCCCCTTTGAAGCTCCAGCTCATGATCTCAATACTCACCTGTACTTCATACTGGTGTGGCGCCCGATGGCCTCCTTCATGTGGGCATGGCCATGTGGAACCTGACGGGACCCGGACCCCTCCCTGGTCTTGACTGATCCTTGGGACATATAGTTGCCATTACTCCCTTGTCCACTCCCTCCTCCTCCTCCACCTCCACCACCTCCTCCTCCACTACCACCACCACCTCCTCCTCCGCCACCACCTCCCCCTACTCCTCCACTGCTTCCTCCAGGAGGTGGAGCGGTGCGAAGGCCACAAAGCCGGTCCTCACTGCGACTCTTGAGGTTGTGCTCAGTGCAGGCGAAAGACACCTGCATCCTGACCCTGGTTTCTGGTGTCTCTTATTTTGAGAGTGGGTGGGGAGGGTGCAAAGTCACGCAAGCAATAATGTCTGTAAACTGTTGGTGCTGCTTGACACTTCCTCCCCGGCGTGCTGTTGTGGCAAAGCAATGATGCTCATACAAAAAGGGCTCAGACAGGGCAGGTCAGAGATTTTGGCTGAGAGTTGGAGGGAGCAGGCGAGAGTCCAGACTCTAACATGACACACACAGAGTTACCGTCTGCTCCGTCTCCTGTCTGGTGATGCTGCAAACCTGGCAAAAGGGCTGTTTGAGTTTTCACACTCACAAGATGCATCAGGGCTGCTCTCCAAAAATCATCAGGAAGCTTGTAAGCTCACAGCAGTCCTCAGACGGATTTGGGGATGTGGCAGCAGTTCTTGGGGAAAACCTCAGTGCAATAGATGCCTCCCCTGGAGAGTGTCAGCAGCTCGGCCTTTTTCCCCCACATACATGCACATGAATGGCTTATGTTGGGGTGGTAAAGCACTTGATAGCTTTGCTGTCTTCTCTTCAGCTGAGGTTAGTTGTGTCTGTGTGTCTGAGCCGAGGAGCTCCGGAGTGTGCCGCAGCAATGACACAATCACAGCTACAGGCATCCTCGCACCTCGCGTCGAAATAAGGCATTTTTTCTTTTTTCTTTCCTCTCTTTTTTTTTTTTTTTTTTTGTCGCAAGGTGGGTCAGCAAAAACTCGGCTTAATTGATTGCGAATTTACATTGCCGAGGCGAGCAGTCCGTGCAGGGTAAATACACTTAAGGATAGGATGCGAATTCACACAGTCAAAGCCCACCGATGCATCATCGCCCAGCAGCCTCACGCAGCATCAAACTGATGCAAGAGAGGGAGAGAGAGAGGGATGGAAAAAGAAATTAAAGCGCGAACACCGAGCTGAGTTTTTATTACCTTCAGTGTGTGAAGTCGTTCACGTACCGGCAGCAGCAGCAGCAACTGTGCAGGTCTCCCGTTATTCGACAAAATCTCACTGTGCACGGATTTAAAAAAAACGCCGGCATACTGGCCCAAAAATCAGCTGCAGCGGACATTTCAAATCGCTCGATGCCGCCTCTCGGCTCTCCCTCATCCCCGCATCGCTTCTGTCAGTTCACACTTTCTTTTTCTTTTCTTTTTTGCTTTTCTTTCTTTCCTTTTTCCAGATGATCAAAAAAAAATTCACGACACACAAGCGATGTTGGGGGGTTTCAAGATGCTCTCTCTCTCTCTCTCTCTCTCTCCCTGTCTCTCTCTCTCTCTCGGGTGTGATCTCTACATTTTTCATCACACTGGTGTACACACATCTCATCACATCGTCACATTATGTTAGTGGAGCTTAAATAAACACTATTGGGATTATCTGAAGAAAAAAAATAACATCTTAATGCACCAGAATGTTGTTGGGTTTTTTTTAGTATAGCCTATTTGCACAGAAAATGCCTGATGTGTATTTACTATATGCTGTATAATAATATATCAGCAGTCGACGTTAGAATCGCCAGAGCTCCTCATCTTTCACACATGCCTCTGTTCTTTTCCAAATGCATGGATCTCTGTCTGTCTACCACACCCATGTTTCCATGCTCGTTTCTTCTCTGTGTATCTATATGGCCAATCACCAAAATTATACTGCAACACTTTATCATCACCATCACAGCAAAGAGCAGAATACACCACTTCCAAGTCACATCACATCATAACATAGCATGGCATATCATATCACATTGCATCACATCACATCATATTAAAATATAACCGATGTGTCATTTGGTGGCCAGGCAATCATAATAGCTCCTTCAAGGCTGTGTTTACAGCCTGAAATATGCTGCCATATCCTTAAAGAGGGCTGTCAGTCCGAAAAGTTTCACACAACACAGCGTTGCAAAGAACACCTCTCTCATGCAAATAAAAATGCAGACAAACATTCATCGATGGTGTCAATTTTCTCTCAGTCAGTGTCTAAAGAAATCTTGCTTTGGATCAATCTGCAGTCCCAGGAAGATCCCAGAGCAGATTGCATGGCAGTCAGCTGCCAGCAGAATGTAACTTCAAGTTGGCAATCAGCTCTTTTTTAGAGAGCTATCATGGGATGGGGAAGTTTCCAGCTGTATAGGCAGAAAGAAAATGTGAATGCCACCCAATGTGACGAGTGAAAAGAGAAGAAGGTTTAATGATTCAGCCGCCACGAGTTTCCCAAGAATCACTAAAAATAACAAATTCACATTATAAGTGAATGGAGACAAATCTACATAATCATTAAATCTATCATCTACACATTGGCTTAACCTTCACCTTCACACCAAACAATGATCATCATCATCATCATCACTTTAAACAGCAGTGACACGATCACTCTGCTCGACAATTCAGAAATATTGCACTAAAATTGATGACCTTAGAGCTTCATTTCACTTTCATAAAGCACCAGCTGCTCCAACTTGACAAAAATGAGCTTGTCTTTCTGTTCACTTTTCTGCAAATAAGAAGACTGTATGAAATGGCAGTCTCGGGAAATGAGGCGACAGATGACCATATATCTTATGGAGACGCATATAGCAAATTATATAATGAAGATGTCCTTGAGAGTATAGATGTTTTATACAACTCTGCCATCAGACCTGGCACCAAAGCTCAGTAGAAAGCATGTTTCTTCTAACTGTGATCCTAACTGTCGCCATAGATAAAATGTTCACACTGATTTACATAATGATGATGACAGAATGCTGTCAACACTTATTGACAAAGTGCTGTAAATCTCTTGAGTGAGGCTTTCTGCAAATAAATAGGTCCACTAATTGACTTTAAGTGAGCCTACTTCCTGCTATTATGTCATCATATAGAGTGGATCAGATTTAAGTAGAACAGTGTGTGTTATTCATTTGTAGGATTTATCACTTTCAACTATGTTTTCATTTTAACATTTGCAGAAACAACATGGCATAAGATGAAAATATTGTTAGTTTTGAAATGCATAGATGTGTTGGAGTGGAGTGGACTATTTTTCTGGTATCTGCAGAGATGCTAACAGCTGGTTTTCACTTCCCTGGACTGAAGCAGAAATAAAGAATGCTGAGAATTGTTTGTGCCTCTGCGTGAAATGTGCAAGTAGTTTAGAAAAGATGAAGGCATTTATCTTCACTCAAACTGTAACTTTGAAGTATTCCTTCAGACATCTTGTTTTTCTTGTGGTTTAAGTTAATCTTAAAAACGATTCCGCTTCACATTAAGTTTGTCAAAAGAAAGGACGGTCAGAGGACAGCAATTAAATGCTTTTAGTGGAACTTCTTTTATTTAAATCTGTCACAAATTCAGAATACATCTGACAAACTGTAATATATTCAAATATGTTTAACCTTTAAGCTTTGTTTTATTCAAAGGCAAGATTAGGCACTGAGCCCTCATAATCTGTTTGTCAAAATGTAAGTATCTGTCTCTCTTTCCCAAATTTGCTTTGCACGCAGGAGATCAGCAGATGTGGAAAATTGCTGTTTCCAACAAAACCAGCAAATTGGAGAGCCTGTCAAGGTAGATTGTTAGCTGTTGTGTTGATTACAAGTAATCACTTTCAGTCACGGGGGAGTTTAAATCGGATGCATTATTATGAACCACATGCACAGAGGCTGTAGAGACCGCAGCCATTACAGACATGATGTGGAAGAGGAAATACACAAGAATCTGTTCAAGTGATGGAAGCAGTGTTTCCTGACATGGAGGAATCACTTTAACTGCATTACGGTCAGATATGTCATTCACTTATTTTAGTTACCAAATATATGCTGCTAGAAAATGCTAACAGATTATATGAGGCCTGTTTTCTTTCATTTGTTTTTCTTCAAGCTGCAGATTTTGATATTTTTCCTGGTTTTGAGTCATTGTGCTGATTTGTCTTCATACTAGGAAGACGCTGCCACCTAGAGGCAATTTTACAGGAGTCTCAAGGCTTGTGTGAGTCTGTTGGGATGTACTAAATAAAATGCCATATTGTGTCATGACAGCCCTGTTTCCTAAAAGATTTATATATGGCCGAAGGTTTATATATGCCTACAGTTCCACAGCCAGTAAATCACAAGTGACATTCACAGGTAAGCCAGAGACATTCTTAAATGCACACAAATCTACAATGATTAAATATGTAACAAAATGCTGTTTGTGCTCATGCTTTGATTTATGTCATTTGTGTAGTTTTAATCCAACATTTTTCAGTGAAAATTGATTAATTGCCATGTTTTCATCCCAAAATAGCTCAACTGAGCACTTTAAACTGAGAGATACAAGCACTGTAACAACCAACTGTGTGTCCCCTGTTGTCAAATCATGCATCATTAACTCTAAACTTCTGCCCCACTGACGTTGACCCTGTCAAGCTGCCTTTTGAAGTAGAAATGAGACAATGGTTGAAGTCCCTTGTAAGTTACAGTATCTGACATTAACATTAGTGATCCTGAAGAACCTGATGTTTTTGCAGTCCAGCTACATTTATTCAGCACAACGGTGCTTTGAAATCTCATCAAACGCGTGATATTTCTTTCTAGGTCACTGGCTGGAAAAAAACTGCAAATATGTTTCTTTTTTTTTCCACCAATGAATGATGTCTCCACTCACTGCATTCAATTGCAAGCCCTCTTCAAACACTCAACTTCATCCATGCACTAGGAATATATTAGAAAAATATTAATCATGTTATTTAAATGGATCATTCACAGATGAGTGCTCAGGATGGTCTGATTCTCTGCCTATGACTCTCTGAATCCAACGTCTTATTAAATCTGCAGGTATGGCAGATTATGTACATATATCGTTGCTATTTGCCATGCAGTTATGTTCTCATTCTCTTTTAACATGCAGGTTGAGAGACATTATAAGTTAAAACTATGAAGAAAGGTTTAATTTTATTGTATTTTACATCTGTCATTACTAACATGTTTTTATTCTCAAAAATCAATATATCTGTGTCTGTACTTCCCTTTTCCCCATCTTTTCACCTCCCTCCCTCTTACCTGTATGTCATTGCAGAGCGCTCAGCCTCGCACTCAGCCAGGGAGAGGCCACATTCCCTCAGGTAGAGCTCCAGTCGGCGTCGCTCCACCAGCCTGTGCGCCGCCTCCAGGATCTGAGAAGCCAGGGCCTCTGACTCAGTCCTCTGGTCCGGGGTCCTGCTGCTCCGGGCTCCAGCTTTGGCCACAATACTCCCTGAGGAGGTCGACGCCTTGGGCTTCTTACTGATGCCATAGAGGTCTTCAACTGAGTATTTCCCTCCCTTACCTCCCCCAGTACCACCACGGCTGGCAAACATTGTTATCTGGAGTCAAGTGCTGGAAACTGATGAAAATGGTTCCTCTCTTTTGCTCGGTTTTGCCTGCTACATCTACTTCAGGCTTCTGAGTTAGAAACAAGACAACAAGGCAGTGCTATTTTGATAGAGATTCGTGAAAAATTTGAAACATCCGGCCCAAGGATGTCAGACATCAAACTGCTTGAGACAAGAACTTAAAGCACCTGTAAAATATCAAAAAGTCTTGATTGCTCCTTTGTGGAGTCTAAATCCAAAATAAAACAAAGCCAGTCCCAACATGTCAGCGGCAACACCCAGTCACAATGACTCCTGCTGATGTGAGGTGCTTCTTTGAGTAAAAATGGATAGGAAAAGCAATCGGCATCTTTCTGTCTTTATCTCTTAAAAGAGGGATTTGTGTTGAAGCCCCACCAGCTTGCATTTGTTCAGATTAAGAGAGCGCCCGGATGAAATATCTGTACTTCTGTGGCTGCAATGTAATCTGACTCAGTGGAGGTTGTGAGAGTTCTCACTCTCTGACCTTTTCTTTTTTTGATTAAACTTTTGTATTGCTTTTTCAGGATTTGAACATATATTACAACTTTATAAACAATATAAGATTTAGAAAAAGAGAATGCGCATTCCTCTTAACAGGGTGAAACAGAGGGATCATACAACAGTATTACACCTCTTTTTATCTACTGAGCACAAATGATTATATGATGCACAGAGAGCAGAGACACATGGATATCAATTGTCATTGATCATCTTTACCTATAATCTCTTAAGATTCTCTAAGGGTAAGATATCCAATATGTACAATGCTGGACCCTCTTGTTGTTGTCAATACATTTGACAACAGTTGACCAGAAGTGATGTACCATTTCACATTCACATTCATATCAACAGCTAACATCTTCCTAAGCCAAAAACTTGACATTTTCAGAGTCCAGTAATTCCTGTTCATTATTCTAAATGAAATGAGG